TGTTCCTACCCCTATGTGTATATCTATTATCTACACTATTAAAATTATCAGCTCAATTTTTTTTTAGGCAAGCCCTAGTGCTGGAAATGCATCCATAGCTTCTGTATTCAACTCACCTGTAAGGAGAGAGAGTGATGAGGAGTGAGAGAGAATGTGACATATGTGCTTCATTATTAGCACACACCTAGAGACAGTGTGGTAGAGAGATGAGGGTGAGATTGAGAGAGGGGTTGGGTGGAATGGATATGGTGTCATGGTGTGTCCCTGAGAGGGTAAGCAACCAGTAACAGTTTCTTGTTTCTTTAGTCGACTTCAAGAACTAACAGACCGAAACAGCGTAGGATTTTATCTAAAGATATCATTATGTCCATGGAGCAATGTCGTGAAACCAGACACTCACAAATACTTTATAAATCACTCTTATAATTAATGCCTGCATTGTTTGTTTAATTAATATTTAATTTCATTGGATCTTGATGGATTGATGGTCCCTGATTAATGGGAGGGTCTCACGTACCACCAAACAGTAATAATATCACTGATGTGCACAATACAGTCTCAGTTGAATTATTTTACTTCTATTTTGTTTTCTTTTGCTTCAAAACTTTTCTTATAATAGTTATTATTATAATTTATCTCTAATTGTTCTCTCACCTTTTTATAATTATTCATTAGTGAGTGGGCGGATCGCGAATTCGCCAATCTACTCTTGCTATTAAGAATCACTACCTCGGTTCATCTTTCTACTGCAGTCTTTGAAAAGATTCTTTCATGGCCAGTAGTAGTTATATGCGTCTTAAAATAGCTCTTGAAAATGATGTTGACGGTAAGCCAATTATTGTTACCCAGCCATTCAATTTTGATTCAAGGTAGTTTGAGAGGAAATTTTTCCTTGAGCAATGCAAGAAAATTACTCAATGACATTAAGGAAAAGTTTTATGGGTTTGACTATTGAGTAATATTCTAAAGAAAGGACATTGCTCCCCATGCATGGGACTAGGGCCTGTCTTGTTTAGGCTCACCTCAAAATGTAATGCTTTTTTATGAGCCTATCACATCTTTTACCTTACCTGATCTTATCATAGCTTGCTATAGCTCTATTTTGGCTGAAGATTATTATGTTGATACCAATTGTATAATTGTATAATAAAAATGGAAAAATTCGCAAATATTAGCAGTCGCCAATATAAATTGTCCTTGAAAGACTGACATGGCTTCATATAGTTCAGTATTGTAATAAGTAGTCTGTGCATATGGATAACTA